GAGCCAAGGTAGTACGGGTGAACGTAAGCTAAAGACTCTGCTACTTCGTAGAAACATCTTTGCTAGATCCCATTTGTCATTAAACCACATTCTGTAATTACTGTGATTAGAACACCCTGTGAGAGCTACAGCTTCTGATAAAGGAGGATAGTCCCGTCCCAGCCTCCGAGTGCTACTAGTACTGCGAAGATATTCCATCTTAGAAGATTCTGCGGGTTACTTCTCTACTGGGAGGATGTTGTCGTACATATAGGTGAAACAGCCCTAATGAATAGGATACACAACTGCGGTCGTGAATAAGCAAATAGCACTTGGCGACCTGGGTTGTACGATACCACTTAACAGAAAGGATTCGAGTGAAGAATATCAGATATAAAGCCGACAAATGTAACACCTATTGTCAGCAGTGGTCGCGCATTTTGTAAATTGGCGGAGGTTAAAATTCACAGACCCAGTGGCATAATAGTCTATGAAGCCGCTTTCCTTGTAACCGAGGGTCCTGGATTCGAACCCCAGTGGGTGCATATATTGTGGACAGTTGAGTTTTCATGGACGAGGGTGTGGATGCTGTGCTTTAACGCGGTCGCATTCTTCCTATGTAAAATTTGTTAAATAAATCCTTGGACAGATGCAATTATTGTATTCTTTATACATTAGGTGGGTCTGTGTCAAGAGCAGCCTGGTCACCAGGCTAGATGGGATAGGCTAAACTGTGAGCACTTACTGGAGCTGAAATGCACCTTCCGGATGCTGATTTGTAAAGATTTGATTTATTTTTCAGCTTTGATCACTGATTGATACCAGTTAGAGAACCGCTGAAAACCAGAGTGTACTGGACAGCTGTTTCATTCTGGTTTGGGAATCATCAATGGAACGCTTTCACCGGGGTTCAAACCCACAACCTTCCCGTTACAGGGCGAGCTCGTAAAACAAATAAAATCTCTGCTAACCAACCCCTGACAACTAATCTGACGCTCGCTAATGACTTGCTACAGGAAGGACGGAGTTTCCTGGAGTTCTAGTGAGAAGCCGTGACCAGTGAGCTGCATTCAGTCGGGAGTAGGAATGGATTTCCCGCTGATGACATTGTGTGGTGGTCAGGCTAAAATTCCTGAACTGGTGGAAGTTGGAATTCATGCACTGGCCATTGAATCGGGTCCCAGTGGCTGAATGGTCTACGAGCCTGACTTGTAACCGGAAGGTCCTGGGTCCGAACCCCAGGGGATGCGCACTGCCGATGATTCCAAAACTAGGATGAAGCAGCTGCTCAACACTCCTTGGTTTTTGATGGTTCGCTAGCTGGTATCCATTCGTGGGCAAATTCGTAAAGGCCAAATAATACGCCCAGCAGGATAAACAGCCACACAACATTCGCGACCATCAATTCTGTTTGAAGTCAACTGGAAGTGAGCTCGAAGTCGTTCAAACAATTTAGCTGACTGGCTTCCAAGAACACTGCAGCAAATTGCTGATAGGTTTTGACCGCTCTCATGATTCAATTTTTACATAAAAGTAACCTGGAACGTTGTTCGAGCAACGATATTTGTACTAAATAAATAACATAAATCTAGCTGTTTCTGTTTCTGTGCAGACTGAACCTACACACTGAGCTGTGTAATCCAAATTGGTTAGAACCGATATTCCTAGGTGTCAGCGAACTATGTTAGCTCAGTTTCAGAAGAGGTATTTATTTAGAAGAGGAGTGGATCGTCATGTTTTGCTGCTGCCCACCACCTCATTTTGCAAGAAATTCCAGATCTACTTGTATTTCAAAATATGAAATATGCCCATAGTGAAATTTAAAACTACACATTTAAGCGAACACTGCTGTTTTCAATTAGATGTCGTCAGGCTTAACTCTAATATATGTATATATATACAACTTCACAAATAAATATTCAAATATAAACCAGTCATGGTGTTTTGTCTCTAGGATAATAAGACTGTGCATATAAACTGTGCAATTATCTGTGATAATAATAATGGTTTCACCAATAATATGGATGAAAAATGTGAGGCGATCTGCGATAAGAAGAATAACGAAAAGCTGCGTGACTAAACATATACATGTTTGGGTAGATAAAGGCTAAGAAAAACAAATGGACCAATTACTCAATGCTTGATTGTAAAGGAAGCAAATAAAGTACGTTTTAATGGAGATGTGATGAGATTAAGGGATAATAAGAGAGAGGCTTTAAGAGAGGAGTTGGAAATATAAGTAAGCGGTGAAGAGGTTAGTAAAAAGGCTAGGATAAGACTTGCTGCGACAAAGCACAAGGCTGAGATGAGACGCGTCGCTGCATAAGCCATAAGAAGAAGACTGAAATACAACAGTCCTCTGAGAGGTTTATATGGGAGAATGAGATTAAGTTGTTGAAGCCAGTCTAGGAGGCCAGTTATTTAGGCTGCTTCGATAATTTTGAACTCGTTTCCAGCGGGTTCTGAATAGATGTAACGCTCGCGGTTGATGTGTGGCTAGCAGTCCTGCCAGAACTGAGAGCTAGCATATAGACACTTAAATGGCAGACAATTACGAACACAAAACTAAATTAATGCTGACCAGACTAGGTTCAAAATAGGAACAGGTGATAAGCTATCTCACTCTGAGCATAGGTCCAGCATTGGCCTTGTCAGCGCTTCGCTTTTTGGAACGTTTAATAAATTCAAATGACAAGGTAAACCTTGACTAGTTCAGTAATTATTCCTAGACCAGGATACGGAACAAGGTTTATTGTGGAGCCGTGAACTCTGTCTAGTAAAACAAAAACCGACAATTCAAAGCAAGGGAAAAATGAACTTTTCCTAATTGGAATCGGGAGGACCCATCAGTTCGAGTACAGTTGACTATGATGTGTAAAGTTTTTCAAGCGAAAATCGGTCGGTGTATCTTCTGTCGGTGAAAGCAAAATTAATTGTGGGGACATGGAATATTCGCACCGGGGTTTGGGGATGTTGCAGCTTCTCGAGTTGCACAAGTGCCAAGAATCTGTGGCGACAGATGAAATGGACTCGCCGGCTTTTGTGTACGGCCGAGGCGCTGGCAATTCGTCAATACAACCCCAAACTCTGTATACAGAAAAAGCTTGTTCAGTCTTTTATTCTGCCGTGGTCTTAACCTCTTCACTAGTGGTTCCCTGTAAAATTTTCAATCTTACTGCTAGTTTGCTTTTACTTTAATAATTAATTCTCTACTATCACTCTCATATTTTCCTCCCCTACATTTTCACACTCTCTTCACACTTGTTAAATTGACACTCATCTACCTTTATTCTCACTCGATAGCAATTTTTACCTTATCAAATTTCTAATCATTTTATCCCTTGTGCCGTCAAGTACCACGTAATTAACAACTTTTATTTTTTACTTCCAAAGCCACTTCTGGGTAATTATATCGATTAGGTCACCCCCTATTTACAGGAGGACTGAGAAAGGAGCCAGATACGTCACTGGATACGCTCACACCACTGCTGCAGAAGGTGCTGAAGAAAGTGGAGGTCCCTGCTTGTAGGAAAATAGGCTCCCCTATCAAAGTGCTAGAGAAGTGTGACTGATCGGTGAACTGGTACGAAAATATGTGTATGGCAAACACGAAAATACAATTCTAAACTGCATTATCCTGAGTGGTCTCGAAGATATACCAGACGGAAGATTTCTATCGGATGAGGTTGCATAGTGTCAGAGATAATCTTACTAACTGTGGTAGACTGGACCGCGGAGCAGACACTGGGGAGTGAGAAGGCTAGTATAAATTGAACCCTAGAAATGACAATTAAAGGCCTGGATTCCGCGGATGATCTGTGTCCGATGTCTCATAAACTCGAAGAACTGCAGGCGGGGGTGTTAGAGTTAGAGGAGAGGCAGAGAAAACAGGAGTTCATTTGAACATGGCGAGGACGGGAGTAATGAAGATTCCTAACCACCGCCACCACCATGACCAACAACAATAACAAGCACTAGTCATCCGAAGGGAGCCATTTCTTTCAGCTACAGGCGGCACCAGATCGGGCCGGTCGGAAAGGAATGGGATTCGTTATTCGGGAAGCAGTATGCGGACCCACTGAAATCAGTTGAACGAACGAGATACAAATTTTGAACACTAATGTTAGAGACTGGATGCACGTGTGTCACCAAATGCCTTTGGTGTAAGACACAGAATAAATCCGAGAACACATGTCTCTGCTGGATCCCAAAGATCGAACAGTCAGCTAGAAGGGATAAGCAGCAGTGAACACCGGCAGCCAACAAGCCAATGGGCTACGGGTAACCAACATATATGCTGGGGGAATTGGAGATGGACTGAACATACCATGAAGAGATTGTTGAGTGAAATCACATGCCAACCTCTCGAGTAGACCTCGAATGGGAAGCAGTGAGTCGAGAGAGGGAGAGAGAGTCTGACAATGAAAGAGGGTGGGGGATAGTATGAAGAAGAAATGACTGTTTGTGAGCATCTTGAGTCCTCCTGAAACCGATAACAGTGAGTCAAATGGAATGAAGATATGTTGCTGAAACCTCATATTCCATTCGGAACCCACTAAACAAATAATAGTAATACTAACATCGGGAGATGACAAACCTAATGAGTATCTGTAGTGCGATCCTAAGAAACTGTCGCAATGAAGACTACCTGTATAAATCAAGCTTCAACATCTGGTTAGTCTAAGGTCACCCCATTACTTGGAACAAAAGGCAAACCCATTCAGACAGATAATTATCGCAAATATTATGATGCATTTCATGCTTCATAATAGGGCCACTTTAGAAATGACATCAAACATTTCAATGTTTTCTCACTTCATAGAAAGCGAAATCATGTAAGGAGATGACCAAATTTGACCAAAGATTCTCTTGTTGTCGAATAGCTCTTCTGGATTCTTCATTATCAGATATGGGCAATGAAAACTGTAAACGGAATTCTTGGATTACTTCATCATGGAATTTGGTGATGGGACTTACAGTTTTTAGTATCTTATTGTTAATCTGCATCTTGTCAAGGTTGTACAAATCGGCAATGTTCTAAAGACTGTTATCATGCTTAAATGGTCAAAGTGAGGTCTTCCATTATGAAGCCATTTTGAGACCTTAATTAGTGATAGTGACATAAACATTTCAATTTCTCAACAGGTCTTGTTCAGAAAATAAGTTTTGTATACGGTCGAAGGGTTTTTTAGTATAAATTATAAGATGTGTATGTGCAGATACACGTGTTTGTTTATAAGATGTCAGTATTTAATTGTAATTGTCGTCGAGACCGTATGCATGAATGCTTGTGTATATTTATAGGAATCAGACGATAATGCATAGCTGAATAGTGATATAGGTAAATCATCCTGCTTTGCTTGTGCAAACCTGAACAATAATTGCTCTGTCGAATTTTTATGTTTGTTACTGTTACTGGCATCATGTTACATAGACAACATAGTGAGAAGATTATGTGTCATATATTGATATATAAAACGAATAAAGCGTTGCTCAGTCATATTTTGCTTAAAGTTTAATATTTCTGTCAATAAACTGCATGTCTTAGTCGTTTCTGTTTCTTTGTTTTACGGCTTTCTGTACATTTAATGCTTTTCCTTTACAGTGTCTGTGGGTTACCATTCGACTTAGTGCTGTAAGGATCTTGATCTGACTCTAGTTCCGTCACAGGGAGTATGAATCAATTTAATTGTTTCATACAGTTCCAATTGGTCACTAACAAGTGACTGATCATTGCTTTTTTTACTGCTTTACCTTGTAAACGTTGGTTATATCTACCTTTTATCCGGAATTTCAGAGAAAAAAAGGAAGAGCAACCCAGTGATTGGCCAAAATATGCAGAGCATCTGGAACATTGTGTTGAAGATGTACGGCGTGTAGCAAGCGAAACACATAGAGGTTTGGTACAACATGTTCTTATTAGTAAAAAAAATGTATGTTATCTATTTCATGCGGTTCTATTTCTGTTAAGTTATTTCATTGATCCCTGAATACGGTCTACATAGAAGTGTAAATTTAATTTATTAAGATGTCAGAGTTGTCAAAGAGGGACCTTAGTTCTTGAGGCACTTCTCTGTTTGGCGGGTCCTCACGAGTTATTTAGTCACAATAGTTATTTTATTCGCTATTATGGAAACTTACACTTTTAAGTAGAATTCTAGGCGTAGGTATTTATTTTATTCTTTATTATTTTAAATTTTGATCACAGCTCGATGCCACACCGTATTTTCAGTACAAGTATGGAATTTTCAGTATGGATATGGTAGCCCAAATTTTACAGGCCTATCAGAGATGTCGGGTGTGCGTCGAAAGGGTATCGAACCCGGGACCATGTGCATGGTCGGCGAGAGTCCTAACCACTGTGCCACCGACGCACAGGGAAATAACCCGGTAAATGATTTCCCGTAAAGTACAAATTCATCAATATTGTGGTAATGACGGTTCGTGGAGTTGTTGGAGTTTGAGTTTACGCGGGCAAGGTTTTCGATATCGATTTACTATGGTTGCATGTAGAAGTCTCCAACTGACACCAGTAGGTTGATTTAATTCTAATCCTTGTCTATGAGATAAGTGAGACTTTAAGTCTAATGGAACGTCCTCTAAGTAGACCACTCAGTTGCCGTAATTCAGGGTTCTTTTATGTGGTAGTCATATTGACATTTTTTACGGAGGTATCATATGCTTTTGTCTGGTCGAAAGTTAATTAGAAGATTTATTTGTACTTCCATAAAGGAAAACCAATTAAATGTCTTTTTTTTATCTCCCTCTCTGACACAACTACATGCATATTGTATTAACTAGTACTGGTTACAGTTCTGTTACTAGCTTTTTGTAAGTGTTAAAAATCATTTTGTGTATCATCACTGAAGCATTTTTGGCACCTGGCGATGCTATTATCACACTTAACTGATACCTTCAGAGATTTGTTGACTCTTTCCAATCATTTCAAAGTATAGTAAGGTCAATTCCATATTCCGAAAAATGGTTGCTCAGTCGGTTTGGAAACTAATTTGTTTGACGGATGCTGTGTATCTGTGCAGTGCAAATCACAGAGCTTGGTCACGTATTCACCCGTTAAGGCGTTTCACATAAAAGATGGAAATGGGATTCGGTTGGTCAAAGAGAAGAGTTTAAATTTATGCACCACCATGACCCGTCTGTACTCACAAAGGTAATGCGGTGTACGTGTCGCTGAGGTTGTTACGTATTCTATCACTTTCATAAACGTTAGCTTATCAGTTGTCCTTATGTCTGATGTATTGGCTCATATTTCTACAATAAGTTAATATTATAAGCTTTCAGTCTTATATATGTCGTCTGAGTATGAGTTTCGTGGCTATAAATGCGATTTAACGTGTTGTAATTTAATGTAAAAATTGAGATTTATTTTCTCACGAACAACTGGTTTGATTGTATTAGTCAAATTCACGTTATTTTTGCTGAATTGATCAGTACAAGTCTGAGTATGGAACCAAAGTAATGGCGACAACAATTCGTTTAAGACATCCTTAAAATTGGACTGCATTTTAAAAATAGATACAGAATGGTCGATATTGAAACTCATCCCGTGTACCATTCACAAAATTTAATGTGCATAATGGTTTAACAAGAAGACGTTGGAAAGGGCTGCTTTTAAAGCTGCAAGTGGACTCGGTTATTACAAGAAGCATTAAATGATCAAAGCCTATAGTCTAAGAGAGAGTGAAATTCAATCTCTAGCATAGGCCTCGTAATGTTATGCATCCATACAAACTGTATTAAGAAGTGCTTTTTACACCTAATGAGTGATAATAGATTCCATACAGGTTCTTAGGTTTTATATATATATATATCTGTCAAAAGTGAAATGTTTCCAAAATAAAGCCGCTGCAAGATTAGTGTCTTTTAATCATATCATACAGACGTTATTTTCCTTACTGCCTAATTGTATTGTATTCGTAAGCTTTTATTATGTTTACACTTCCTTTATTCGCATCAGATCACTCCTGTAATCTTCACTTACCTTAATCGTGATGCGCTTTCCTCGTCTTATTGGCTGGTGTATGTTTAAGTGTACTGTTTGCTAATCGTATCTCTGTGACAGAAGACCACTGGAAATCAAAAAACGAAAAAGATAGACTTCTGACCACGGAAGTTTCCTTCTGTCGTTAGTGTGGGATGGAGGCACAAAGTATGTCGACGTGAGACTTGAAGTGATTTAACAGTGGATGAGATTGTGAATCTTCCTAGATTGTAGTGTTATCCATGCTGAGTCACCACCTTCTTAGGAGACCAATGTTGTCGAGAATTAGTTTGCAAGGGATTTGATTTGTTTTAAGTTTGACCACAGGTCGATATCAGTTAGAGAAGGATTGAAAACCAGGGAGTACTGGACAGCGCTTTCGTCCTAGTCTGGGACTCTTCGGAAGTATGTAGTCACTGGAGTTCGAAGCCAGGGTTACAAGTGAAGTTCGTAGACCATTCAGCCTCGGGTACCCGACTCAATGGCCCATGAATTCTAACTTCTATCAATTTGCGATTATAACGTGATCCACGTGTTCAATGGTTCTCTGACTGATATCAAACCGCGGTGAGCCTTGAGACCAATGTTGACTGAATCTAGATTATAAGGGACAAATTTGGGTGTGGATAAATCATAGCGTGGACTAGATTCATGTAGTTTTTAATTTTTATTATAATGGCTGTTTGGCTGAGCTGAGATAATTGGGATATTAAGAAGTGTCATTTACAACAGGTCAAATCTACTCACCCATCGTCATCTCTGAAATTCTTTACTTGAGTTCTGCCTTGTTTGTATAGTATTTCAAAATACCACCAAAATATCTCAGACTGCAGATAGACACCCTTATTACTTGGACTGAGTTTTATACATTCAAGTGGCTGGTATTTCTGCTAGTTGTGTTAAATAGGTGATTTTATTCATCGTTCATTCGTAGAAAGTGTTTCATGGGGTTGTATCACTAAAGACATATCATGTTAAACTTACCTATAATAACATAAGTGGTTTCAATGGTCGTAAACTGTTGTCTCACATTTCCCGAAATATTATTTTGTTTATCCGACTCTCTTACAATACCTTTGCATGATTTCAACCTTAACTGCTGTAATATTTCAATAAGTTTTACTAAAAGCTGAAAACTTCATGTTAGATTCGTTTAGCATATTTGTAGGTGCTCACAGAATGATATCCAATCGTTGTCATGTAGCTTTGTCAAAAAAAGATGACATTTATTATTATAGATGAAAGTAGAGTGAAAGTAGAAGAGTAGATGAACAATTTTCATGTGTCCACATGTTTCTTTAGAATAGGATCTTATTGAATGATGATGATGATAAAGTTGATTTATTACAGTTCGGTAACTAGTCATCTGTTTTCTTGCCACCTAAGGTAATCGGTTTGTTAATCTAATGTGTATGTTCTATTGTATATTCAACAGATTGGTTATTTTCTTTATCCACTATTATTATTATTATTATTGCTATTATAACCCTTCCTTTTTTCAGAAAAAATACCCGGAACAGTCGTTGTCAACTGTTTTAAAGGAAGCGGTTGATAAATCGAATGCAGACGATCGGCTTTTTGTGTGAGTGCTCGTTTCTTACTTACATGTTGTTCTATTTAAGTGTTCTTGTATCAAAGTTATTCACTGCATTTTTCCAACTAAAGTTAGTCATATCTCAACATTGAAGTTAAAAAAAGTATGCTATCATAGATGTTAAAAAAGAATAAGCCACAGTCTTTGAAAATATTATTGTAATGTAGTTCTATTGTGCTAGAATAGCAGTACTCAGCTTTTAACCGATTTTGATTAAAAAAATCTAAAAAAGGCATTACAATTGTTAGCCCGTTTTTAAGTGAGTACACGTGAGGACTACAGTAAGTACATGTCACTTGTCCACATAAACCTAACAGTTAACCTTCGAACATATTAGTCACTAAACCAAAATTTAATTCACGAATTTTTTCATGCAAGAGGGCAGTAACAAAAGTGATGAGTTGTCACAACCATAGTTGTTAATATTAGTCAATCCATAAAAGTTGAATAAGTGTATTAGAGTAGAGTTGCGTAATAGGATGAATAATTTAATGGGTGAGTTGTGATCAGGATGTACGTAGAGACGAAGCAAAATATGGAATTATGTAGGAGTTTTAAAGAAATAGAAAAGTCATAAGGAGTTAGAAAGGCAGGCACACAAACATCAAGTCAGTAGACATCAGTAAGGTTGTTACCATGCTAGTAGAAGTCGTTGAATAATTTTCCTTTGTATGCATAATATCTTCGGTTTCTCTACCTGAATGACTAAGGCTTCAGCAATGGGAAGGAGACGAAAGTTTATTTCCTTTTGCAGGTTGTTCTGAACTGTGTGTATTACTTTGATGGAAGAGGCGTTTGTTGAGATGGAATGACCAGTTTCGACAAGGTGTTCGATTGTGTCACTGCTTATAGAGCCACTACTACCTTTTTACACCTATACTGTAGGATGGTGTTCTGGAACCCTTTCAGACAGGATACGCGTCCAACGACCAATGTCCCTGGCCGGCTCCACAGCAACAGGTGGACTGATATGTGTACATAGAAGTGGTCAGGTGTGAGATGTTGTCCTCAAGGCTTCTGTAGACCAGTGGACGTCTGGAGAACACTACTACTATTACTAATACTAGCACTACTCGAAAATATTGCAAATTCAGCATTATGTGCATCTCTGTGATAGGCTGAAATAGCCTGACTTACCGATCATTTTTGTAGTGTTATAATATACTGAAGAGTGTATAATGATTTTACTGAAGTTGGTTGGATCTCGGATAGATCTTAAGACTACTATCCCCATTTTCTCTAACTAGTTAATATCTTTTAAAAAGATTGGTAATACACTAGGCCAATCTCATAAAAGATTCTCCGTGAGCTTTGTTTAATGTAAGTTGGCTTATCTGATATGGCACATCGTGTGATACAGTGAAGTATTATTTACTGGATGATGTTTTGGACGCAGTATTTACTACTGTTACAACATTAAATACATACGTTATTATATCATCCTGGTGGAAGCGAAACGAAGAGACATTTGTGGGATTTCAATATTGCAAAAATATTCATTCGGACATCTATAAAACACAAAATAATCGAGCAAAGAATATTCTTTTCGATAAATTCCTCTTCCAGGCAGCTGATTTCCCGTTAACACTGGATGATAGCTAGATGGTCAGACAGACAAACAGGCAGGCAGGCGAGCTGTATCGCAAACAGAATGAAGCTAGAAAATATTATGGGTTATTAAATTGTAAGCCAATACTTAGTCAATATTAAGGTGCTTGCTGCAAAAGCATAACGACTGTACTTTCAATCCCTATGAGAGATACTGTAAATGCGTGTTGTTACAGATGTGTAACCTGATATCTGCAACAAGTATCTAATGTTTCACGCAATATCCGTGTTTGATTAAAACTAGCATCACAGTACAAGTGAAATATGTAAGGTTTCTCATCTTAATCATGAGTGATGGAAATATCTCGTTGCTAGACTGGATAACTTACATCTAATTACTCGTAGGATACGCATCTTTATAACATTTTGTATTACTGTGTCAATTTGCCATCTTCCTTTGACCATTCATTTTTTGTAGCTGAATAACTTTACCTCGTTTAAAAAGTAGAGAAAGTAGGCAGAAAGGGCATGGTCCTTTCGTTGACTGCATCAGTCTTTCTACCTCTCCTTCATTTTCAGACATCTCAGTAGAACCTCTGATATGTTCCCTTTTTTATTGATTATTTTTATTCGCTGACCCCTATATTAGTGTAGGTGTATCTGTTAGAATCAGTCGTTTAAATTCTGTCTATACCTCTTTCCTATTCTTATTTGTATCGTAAAGATAGTATTGTGTAGACACAGGAAACTTCAGTATAAGATTATAAATGGAAACTAGTTGACTTTCATTTCGTGATAAAGCGAGGAATGTGGCTAGTTGTCTGTTTTCCTTTCACCATAATAGACATGTTTAGATTTTCTCGAAAACTGTATGAACCACGCATATTTTACTAGCTCGCTAATTTTCTAGCCGGTCCCAATTTCTAGTAAAGAGGGAGGGTTGAGCGTGGGGCTAGGGATCCTACCCGACAAAATCAATCAAATTGCTACAGAAAGTTCAACGCTTAAGAACGCCGTTGGAGGATATCGTCCTCCAGGCCCTCAAATGAAATCCCAATGGGAAGCAACGGGTGTATCGTCCAAGGGTGACATGGAGGAGATTGTGCGAGGAGGATATGAGAGATTATGGGTAGTCGCGGAACCAGCTGAAGACAACAACAGAGAATAGAACGAAGTGAAGCTCTGTGTTCTACTTGAAACACAAGGGAATAATAATAATATATTGCTGGAAAAGATTATAGGGAGAAAGAGGGAAGCGATTGTATAGATAAAGAAGACAATTACGTTGATTTTCACTTTAATTAATATCGTCATTTTGAGTTCTAGTGTATATTTCTTCCGTACTCATAGTAAGAGAAAAGTATCTAAGGTAAGGACTTCTTTCAAGATTTCTCCAATAAGTTTATTCTATCATTTCTAGGTGAGATGTACAGAACTGTTGCTCACTGATCTACTTAGAAACTACTGCGTCACAGTTTCTAACCCTACTCCAACTACAGAGTTCAATAACATTAGCTCTTACACGATGGGTGTAGTGTATGTTTATCTGCATATAAATACAAGTCAATCTGAACGAAGAATATTCTTTTCAATAATTTCTCTTCAGGTTCTTACAATTATAAAATATAATATTTGTTGTCGTTACAATAAGGCCAGTTATGCGGCCTTGTAACAAGAACCTGAAGAGAAATTATTGAAAAGAATATTCTTCGTTCAGATTGACTTCTAATTCATAATATGGGAATTTTCGACACTATCAAATCTTATAAATACAAGTGTTTGTTAAGTATGAGATATCTTTGTGTTTCTGCAAAAGTGATGTTCAATGCTTTCAGATTGTTCTCGAACAAAAGTTTAAGGCTCACAGAAACTATTCAATGATGAAGTTGATAACTAGTGGTTCTTATATGTGCAAATTTTTACAAAACTCTGTCGAAATCCCTGACAAAGGAGAAATTGTGTGACGTTTTCCCAGAAAATCCTGATTAGTTTATCTGTAACCTGTCGAGTCAGAAGTTAAATCGCATTGAAATGGAAGCACTTTCTCTTGGATTTAACTTTCATATCCCGAATAAGTTTTTCGAAAGAACCAATGTCGCAGTTCAATTTGAAAACTTATTCTGTCAGCTGAATGACCTTACTCCAGTTGATGATGACAAAATCTAAGCTCGTCGACGTTGCAAATCAATACCTCATTTCTCCAGCGTCATATTCGAAGGCCCTCCCTGAAGAGCATCAGAGAGCATTGAAAGCTCTCAAGAATAATGACAAAATTGTTATATTGCGACCTGACAAAGGCTCAGGAGTGGTACTGATAGACAAAGATGACTACATCGCAAAGATGAAAACTGTGTTAAATGACCCGTTGAGGTTTAAAGTTGACCATTGCTAGAAAGGTAAGATATGCAGTTGAAAAAAGTATCACAAACGCACTGCGAGATCTTCTAAAGAAGGAATTCATTGACAACAATACGTACAATGATTTGAAACCCCGAGGGTCCCACTTGCCACACATGTATGGCCTTCCAAAGATACACAAAAAACAAGTTCCCCTGAGACCTATACTTTCAATGATCAACTCGCCCCAACAAAAGGTTGCACGTTGGCTTGCGGAGAAGTTGGAACCTATTCGTCAACGGCTAGCCGTGTACAACATGAAAGACTCATTTCATTTCTCTGAAAGTGTGAACCACATGAACGTTTTTAATAAGTTCATGATGTCATTTGATGCAACCTCCTTGTCCACAATGATTCCGATCAATGAAACTATTGAGGGCATTTGTCAGCAGTTTGATCTTCTTCCACTTTCAGAGTCGGAATTCAAACGCCTACTCCTTATGTGTACCATGGATGTGCAATTCCAATTTGACAACACTTTACCGCCAAATAGATGGTGTAGCTATGGGCAGTCCACTTAGCCCTGTTTTAGCAGAAATATTCATGTCCAACCGTGAAAGAATGAAGTTGAAGCATGCAATCGACGAAACAACTTCGTACTGTCGATATGTCGATGACACATTTGTAGTGTGCAACAATGAAAGTCATGCTTCCCACTTACTCAGATTATTCAATGACGCACATACCAATATTGAATTTACTATGGAACATGAAAGTGATGGAAAGTTCCACTTCCTCGACATTGCCATGCAACGCCTAGAAAATGGTAGTCTGCGGATTACAATTTACCGAAAGCCTACTTGGAAAGGACAATACTTACATTTTAATAGTTTTTGTCCAAATAGCTTTAAACGTGGTCTAGTCAAGACTCTATACCATAGAGCTAGGAAATTACGCTCTATAGAGAAATTAGAGGAAGAATTTACGTTTCGCGAAAAGATGTTGAAAAGTAATGGTTACCCTCAAAGATTCATCAACAAGTACGGAAGATCTGAAGCCTCAAATGTCAAACAAATCACAGTGGAGAAAAAGCCCATCTACAT